GCTCCTCCTCTTCCTCCTCCTTCTCCTCCTCTCCTCTTTCTTTTTCTTTTGCTTTGTCTCATTATTGTTGTTCTTTTTTTTTATTTCTGTTCTTTGATTTCTTCAGTATCTCCTTCTCTGTCTTTCTTCTTATCATTCTACTTCTTTTTGTTCTTCTTGTTCATCTTTGCCTAAAAAAGAAAAATACAACAAAAAATGAAGAAAAATAACATCTTTTTCTTCAATTTTTGTTGTATTTCTCTTTCTTCTTCTTCATCATCTTCATATTCTTTGTTTTTGTCATCTTGTTCTTTTTCTTCTTCTTCTTCCAGTTCTGTTATTTTCTTCTTTTGTCCTCATCTTCAGCTTGTTTTTCTTCTTCTGTTTCTTCATCTTCTTCATTTTCTTCATTTTCTTCTTCTTCTTCTTCGTCTTCTTCATCATCTGCTTTTCCAGCTTGTTCTTTTTTGTTTTTGTCATTCTTCTCTTTTTTTCAAGTTATTTATCCTCTTTTCTTCTTCTTCATGATCTTTTTAGTCTTGTTGTTCTTCCTCTTGTTCTTCTTCTTCTTTAGGTTCTGTTATCTTCTTCATCTCTTTGTCTTTATCTTCATCTTGTTTTTCTTCTTTTTCTTCACCTTCTTAGTTTTTTCTTTTTCTTCTTCTCTTCTTATTCATCTGCTTTTCCAACTTGTTCTTTTTGTCATTCATCTCTTTTTGAGTTGTTTATCCTCTTTTCTTCTTCTTCTTCTTCATCTTCTTAGTCTTGTTGTTCTTCTTGTTGTTCTTCTTTTCTTCTTCTTCTGCTCCTCTTTACTTCATTTAAACTCTTTCTCTCCTAAACTGTTTGCTACAGCTGCCTACAGTACTTGCTCAGTAGCCTAATAAACTTCCTAGCATTCATTCATACCTTTGCTTTTACCCTCAGCAATTTACAGCCACTACAGAAGTGCCCTTTGTATTAATATGTCAGAGCCTCCTTTGGTCTAACAGTGGTGCTGGAGCCTCTCAGGGTTAAGAGCTTTGCTGAAGAACACAGCAGTGAGGTGGAGAGGGAGGGCAGGGCAGTCATCCTAGCAGCTTTCCTCACGCGCTCCAAATCCCTCACTAGCCTAAGGTTCTTAGCCCTGGTATTGTGTGCAGCAGGACTTTAGGCCAGTCTACTCTCAGCAGGAGAGAAGCAGTCTCAGACAGAGCAGTGATGCGCTCTGATTCCTCCATGCTGCTCCAATCCTCTTTACTTCCTCAGACAGAACAGTATAGTGTCTGAGAAAGGAGAGAAGATGGAAGGGTTAGGGTACTGTGCTAGGGTGGCACAATATAGTGTGAATCGTTATCGCAGTATTGGCCTGCAATTAAAAAATTAGCCTCTAACCAGTCATGAAATTGTTTATTGTGAGCTGTGAGCATCATGACTGTGAGAAGTTTCTGTGGATGATTTGACGAATCACGGCATTCTTGTAATCCAACAGATATAAATATTTTTGGTCAAATTAATGCAGGCCAGTGTTTACTGTCACATGTTTTGTATGTCATGGTGCTCTGCAGAGTAGTTGTCTAATAGTCATGTAGTGCTGATACTCAAAGAAGATACCAACACTTAAAGTCTACTATGCCAAGGTACTCTTTCATATTATGACTTCAATTTCAAAATTGTTTTCTTTTCCAGCGCAAATCCAGTTAGGAAAGTTAAAATGGCTGGGGCAGAGTAGAGAAAGTTAGTCATGTGTAGCACCCATTGCCTTCATCAGGGCACCCTGATAAAATTAAGGCAATTTTTAATTGTGGGCAGTTGTGGGCTGGAGATTAGGGAACCAGCCACGTGACCGGAAGGTCGCTGGTTTCATCCCCTCAGCCAACAGTATGTGACTGAAGTGCCCTTGAGCAAGGCACCTAACCCCCAACTGCTCCCCGGGTGCCATGGATAGGGCTGCCCAACACTCCGGGCAAGTGTGCTCATTGCCCCCTACTGTGTGTGTTCGCTAGTGTGGGTGTTTCACTGCATGGACGGGTTAAATGCGGAGATCTAATTCCTCTGTGTGCAAACAAAGTTGGCTAATGGTTCTGAATTCGAATTCATTAATTGGTCTTTTACACAGAGAAGGTAGTTAGCTGCTTAGTTAAGTGCTGCTGCTTAACTGCACCAGTTCAGGATTCATTTTGCTGCAGTTTAGTGTGCAGTCACTTTTTTGATTTTGCTTAGATTACATCATATTGTACTAATGTTCATGAAGAGTGAAGGAGGAGAAGCTGCGGTGGATACATAGTAGGATGCAGTTTCTCAGTAACTTTTACAGTGATACGTTTCTGTCAAGATTTACCTTAACCGGTAACACTACTGTGATGAATTTATAGAATTCTGTAATAATAAGTTACTTATTATACTCCTCATGACAAAAAATTTATGTAAACACATGTTTTAATTGAGCACACAGTCTCACTTTCATCCAGTGTATAAGCTCAGGACCAGAGCAGCAGTGTGGCTGCTCTGGTGGAATCCTCTACAGCACATTCATGCATTTTAGAGTAGTTTATTAGAGCCCAGACTGAATGACAGCCACGTTGCTCGTCCTGTGGAGACAAATGTTTATACCAGTGTTTTTCCCCCATTATGACATGTTAATTTATTTATTTATGGCATGCGCTGACCTCTGATCATCATATAAATGCTAATGGATCCTCTGCCCGAGCCCCACACCCCACGCACAGCGGCTCATGAAGCCATTACTATGCTTAATTATCTGTGGCTTGAGATGAACACTCTCTCTCTCTCTCTCTCTCTCCCTCCCTCTCTCTCTCTCTGTCTCTGTCTTTCTCTCTCTTTCGCTCTCTCTCTCTGTTTGTCTGTCTTTGTCTCTCTCTCTCTCTCTCTCTCTCTCTCTCTGTGTCTCTCTCATTATTGCTCTCACTTTCACTTACATTCTCGCTTTCTTTCTCTCTCACCTAATCTCTGTGTTTATCACTCTTTTTCTCTTGTTATCTTTCTTGTTCTCTCTCTTTCTCTCATTCTCTCTTTCTCTGTCATTCTTTCTTGTTCTCTCTTATCTCTCATTCTCTATTTCTCACTCTTTCTATCCTGTTATTGTCTCTGCTTCTCTCTCTCTCTCCTCTCTCTCACCCTCTCTCTCTCCCTCTCTCTCTCTGTCTCTTCCTTATTCAAGCACCATATTTTCTTTCCTCATCAAGAAACCAAACACATGTTCCGGCGTGTGTTGCATGCGTGTGTTGCATGCGTGTGTGTATGTGTGTGGTGTGTGTGTTATTGTGTTTGCTGGGTACTGTGTACGTCTCTTCATCCTCTATTGCTGTGAATTGCAGCACTTTCTTCTCCCGGCTGTCTTTTTTTCCCCTCCTTTTCCCCCAATACATGTGCGTGTCTGAGGTAATTATAGAGATATGAAATATTCATTATCTGGTGTAGCACAGGCGTTGAACTCTCCCTCTGCCCGCTGATTCAAGCGCTGTGGGCCGTGCGTACCGAACAACACTGCCAGAGTCTTTTTGCAGTGGCTTTCACCTCTTCTGAAAATGCTTGCTCACCAGCTGCTGGGAGAGTGCGGCGCTTTCAGGATAAAGATTTTAGTCTGGAAAGTCCTTGGGCTTATCGTGGGCTCAGTGAGGGGAGTATGTGCGTGGGATGTTCGAGCTGTCATAAAGCCTAAAGTGAAACATTTACTAGTCTGATCTGGAGCTGTCACTGTTGATTATATCAGTAATCAATAGGGGTGGAACCATACATGCATTTTTGGGTTTGATTCTCACATCAAGACTCACTTAGATTTTTAGTGGTTTATGTGTTAAAAATTCTACAGAGCACTAAATACATATACATAGAGATTTGGGACTAAAAACTTTGAAAGTACATTTACGGCATTTGACAGACACTTTTATGCAGAGTGACTTATAACGTGATCATTTTACACAGGTAGGCAAAGGCAGTGTTAGGAGTCTTGCCCAAGGACTCTTACTGGTATAGTCTAGGGTGCTCACCCAGGCAGGGGATTGAACCCCAGTCTACAGCATAGAAGGCAGAGGTGTTACCCACTACACTATACCCACATCGGCATGTCCTTGTGCACAAATATGATGTGTAATAAAACTATAAACTAGATTACAGTACAGAAATAGATGGGATGCACCCAGATGACTGGTTCTCATCACTAACAGTGGTTTCCACAAATGACTGTTGGAAAGACCAAGTGACCTATTGGTGAAACACACTTTTGAACATTCTTTTTTTTGCAGAACTGTATTGAAATCATTACATCCTCAGTAAACGTGTAAACAACTGATCATTTTGACAGTTTTGATTATTTTAATAAAAGATCAAACAATAAAATTGAGCTTAACTGAAGAAAAACAAACCATGCATAGCCTTTCGAATATTTTGTCAAAAAATGAACAAAACAAAAAAACTATCCTTTACAAAGACACAATGTATACACATAAAAAAATGATGTGACAAAATGTATGTAAATAAGTTTGCCTGTTCGGTTCTATATTGTGTACTGTAAGAGAGACCAATAAAAGATTTTAAAATATGCATTATCATGCAAATTCTTAACTTACCACTACAGATTAATCGAGGTCAATTTTATTCGATTAACTGAGTAATTGAGTTTAATTGATTAATCCTGACAGTCCTAGTGGGAACTCCGAACGCTGCAGCTGCTTGTTGGATGGCCTTTGAGAGCTGCTAGTGTTTGTGCGGGAGATATGCACAGCGTAATATCTATTAGCTCTGGCACTTATCTGCCCTCTATATGTCTTCTGAAGCATAGCTTTCACAGCTCTGAGTTGCCGGGGGAAACGCTGCTGTGGTTTAGTGTGTAATGTTCACGTGGCTCAGGAGATACTCATGTTTGATGGTGAAGAAGAGAATGAATTATAGGTGTTTTGCTGACTGTGGTTTGTATATGAAGTGTGAAAGCTGTACATTCTATGAAAATTCACATATTGCGAGTACCAGTTGTGTTTGTCATTTGTGAGTGAATTAATCCTGCTCTTGTTCTTGTTCCTCAGGTTTGGTGAAGCTCGGGGTGCACTGTGTCACATGTCAGAAAGTCGCCATAAAGATTGTCAACCGGGAGAAACTCAGCGAATCTGTTTTAATGAAGGTAAGGCTTTCAGAACTCACCCAGAAAAGGAAGAAGCCAATGTGTACATGGATAATGACCATCCAGCATGATGTGATTTTGTGTTCCATTAGATTGTGATTATGGAATTCAGTTTGAGGTTTTGGAGACACCCGAATGAACATTAGCTGGTGAATTATCGCCTGTCTTAGAGCAACAAAAACACAGACTCTGTATACACCGATCAGGAATAACATTATGACCACCTCCTTGTTTCTATGCTCATTGTCCATTTTATCAGCTCCACTTACTGTATAGGTGCACTTTGTAGTTCTACAGTTACAGACTGTAGTCCATCTGTTTCTCTGCATACTTTGTTAGCCCCCTTTTACCCTGTTCTTCAGTGGTCAGGACCCCCATAGACCCTCATAGAGCAGGTACTATTTGGGTGGTGGATCATTCTCAGCGCTGCAGTAACACTGACGTGGTGGTGGTGTGTTAGTGTGTGTTGCGCTGGTCTGAGTGGATCAGACACAGCAGTGCTGCTGGAGTTTTTCAACACCTCAGTGTCACTGCTGGACTAAGAATAGTCCACTAAACAAAAATATCTAGCCAACAATGTCCTGTGGGCAGCGTCCTGTGACCACTGATGAAGGACTAGAGGATAACACAAACTGTGCAGCAGCAGATGAGCTATCGTCTCTGACTTTACATCTACAAGGTGGACTGACAAGGTAGGAGTGTCTAATAGAGTGGACAGTGAGTGTTTAAAAACTCCAGCAGCTCTGCTTCCTCCAAGAAGCTGCTAACATGATGTCAGTTCCATTACTGGTAGTTCTGTTACATTAGCTGACACACATCCGTGTTGGCTTGCATCACACTCAGAGCGAGGCCAGTTGGATGCCCAGCTACAGATGACTATAGCATCACCAGAGATATAAAACTCACGCTCTTGGATGCTTGCGCCACTAGGGATCCCTGATAGCCTTGGATATAAATAGACTGTAACATAGACCTTAGTTTATGAATATCTAAGGTCTGAATGCTTAATTGTTTTTATTTATTTTTATTTTTTTTATTTTATTTTTTACTGTGGGACCACAGTTTGAACTATATACAGACATTACAGGCATTATACTCAAGAACCTTTTCCTTATGTGTTTGACTTACTGACTGCTTGTAGCTGCATTACACGTTAAACACAAGCAGATGCCTTAGAAATAATCCACTAGTTTGTGATCTTCATTCTCAGTGGAAAGGTAGTGCTGTTATTGTCTCTGCTTCTCTCTCTCTCTCTCTCTCTCTCTCTCTCTCTCTCTCTCTCTCTCTCTCAGCCTCTCTCTTGTCTTTCTCACTCACTCACACTCTCTCTCTCTTCCTCTCTTGCTCTCTATCAGTCTCTCTCCTAATCCCCCATTCCTGTCTCCTCTTCACTGGTCCTGAAGTGGGCAATAAAAAATGTGAATTTAGGAACATAAGAATGAAGAGGCTAAATTCATTGCATTATTTATCGCCTGTAAAATGAGACCCCTGCTGAAGCTTGGTCCATTATTAGCTCTCCTGATGGAAGCGGCCTTGGGATCGTAGGGAGTGAAATTGAGGACGCACTAACCTGATTAAGGATAATTGTCTTCCATGGGAGACATATAAATGATGAGTTTCTTCGTATTATTTGGTAATATGGGCTCGTCATGAGCTATTCCAGTGGCTTGTTTAAAAGTAGACTGCCATTTGATTGTTTATCAGTCATCCTTTGGCTCTTCCCTCTCCTTAAAAGGCCAAGAAAAAGAATTTGACTGTTTGTGCTAAAACATGCCACAGTTTAGTGTTTATCTGAGTGTTTATTTGTGTGCAAGGCATGGGAACACTTCCTGTGGGCCCACTTTTCCCTAGAACTGGGCTTGTGCTGATTCTGCTATTCTGATGTACGCAAGGCTCTTTCAGGAAAGACATTTAAGTAAATTTTAACTACATTGCGCTCATTTAAGCACATCTTAGTTAATGTTCTTGTGTTCACCACAAACCACAACTTCTACTATTAATACCATCGATAAATCCACAACGGCAGTTATAACTAACATTACTTATCAACCTAAATTATATGCAGAACTAAGTTAGTTATATCTAAATTACAGCCATACATGCTCAGTGTGCAGTGTTCAGTCTGTGTCAAGTTTTTGTTTGAATGGTTCCTCTTGCATGTAGGACTCTTTATTTTTGTGTTCAACATTGAAAGCATCAGCCTAAGCTGATTTTATATAACATATTCTAGGTAACTAGCCACAGTGTCGGGTAGGTAAAGCAAATCTGCTTATCAGATGTGAATAATAAGCTGCAGAAAAATTTAATCTGGGCCTGATTTAATGATAAATTGTAAATATGTGACAGGCTAAATTAAGCTGACTTCCTGTGGGCTGGTAGTTTGAGACCCCTGGGCTAAGCGTTGGCCTATCGTCATCAGATCTGCAGTTCAATATCTGGCGAGGCCACAGCTATCTGTGTCTGGTAGCCCAAGAGAGCATAACTGGTTTCGCTCTGTCTGGGTGGGTAGGGTGGCTTTCTCTCTCTCCCTTCACTCAGCGTAGGTGGCTGGTTTCACATATCTCTGAGAAAACACATGCTAGCTTTCACCCCAGCTTGGTAGCATTGCGTGATAAGGGGAGACCTAACTAGAGGGTGGAATTAGCCATGATTAAATTAAGTGGAAAAAAATAGATATGGAATGAGATTTGCATCTTTTACCCCTTTGAATGTACAGCCTCTAAGGCTTATTACACATGAAAAACAATGCAAAATGACTATCATTAAGTAATCATTAAGTTATAGGAGTGAGGAATTGAAGTCTAGACTTGCCAAAGAGTTAATGCAATCCTGGGGGGTTTCTTCATGAAAGCAATCAGTAAATGAAAGCATTGTTAACGTGTTGCCACAGTCACCACAGGTTGTTTGGAGCTGCATATGTTTTTCAGGCTGTGGTTGTGTGTGGTTTGGTCTGCGGCCTTGTAGCTTTCTGAGTAACACCACTGCACTCATGCAGTCCACGTCTGATTTCTCCTTAGGCATACAAGCAGTGTTGTTCATTTTGTATGTGCTACTGCGAAAATTGGTGGTGGTCAGAAAGAGGCATTTCAAGGCTTAATTTTTTGAGCTTAGATGTCGATATGCCAATTACACATGATGCAACTCTGTGCAAGGGTAGTATCAAAACTATGAATGTTCCAGAGCTAGGTTTACTGTCATTTCAGTGAACAATCAATAGTTTATCATGAACGTGATCAATTATATCACAATACGCTCTATTGAGGATATAGTATTATCAATACTGCAGGTTTCAGTGCAAAGAGAGCGTAAATAGTCCTGTTTAATTAGATTTAGTGCAGTGGAGTGTGTCAGCTGCTGAAAAATCATCACTTGATATTAAAGCACCATGGATTTACCAGTATTGGAAAATATCTCATAATTAAAGCACCTGTATTTAGTGGCTTGCTTTAGTGGACCTCTGGCATGACAAAAACTGTTATCTTCAGAGCGTTTAGTGGTTTCAAGCTCATATGCCAGGCTTTAAAGCTTATAATTGCCATTTGGTTAATTCTGTTACAGTGAAAGAAGCTAAAAGGCAAACCACTAAAATGCATTCAGATCTAACCTTTAGCAAAATGATAACATGACACAGCAAAAAAAATCGTTCAATGAAGAGAGCTGATGAAAATTAAAAAGCTCATTGTCAAGTCCCAGGGAAGCTCCACCCCCACATTAAAACAATATATGTATAAACAGTTAAGAAATGACAATTGAACTGACAGTCACTCACAGTTGACAACTGACAGTGATGTCTGTCAGTAAAGCACTGTTTAAACCTACAGTCCTGCATCATTTTTGGGTTTTGTTTTGTTTTCGGCCGGTGTTCCCTGCAATTAACTGAATATCTGTTCATGAACTAATTTATGAACTAATCATGAATCAAATTAGTCAAAATACACATCTCTAGTCAAATCCTTCATTATACATGGGCCTTGATTCCTAGTCTTATAGTCATTGCTTGCTTGGATCCATGTAGTTTAAGGCATGAAGGAACTTGACTACTTGCTCCAAAGCTTATAACAGTGACATTTTTATTGCATGAAGTTCCATAACAGGTCCTGGCAATGAAAAAGCTCATCAGATTGGGGATTGGACACTGAGACGGAAAGTTTGCTTTGAGTGGCTTGTGGATTGCTTCCAGCCTCTCCGTGGATTTGAAAAACTTGTTGATATTGAATTCAATATAGCCTAATTAGCGCTGAATGCGTCGGCTCCATGTGGTGTGGTTAAAACAAAGCCTGCATAAATGTTCCCATGCTGTTACACTCTCCCTGCCTGAGGCAGAGCATGTGGTCCAAATATGCTGCAGTTTGCTTAAGCCACTTTCTACCCTGCTTTTTCACTCCTCGTGTATAAACTGCATCCAAATGGCATGTATATGGATAGGTGTGAGTGTGGATCAGCAGCTCTGTGTTAGGCTGCAATGTGAGGTGCAATGAGTGGATCTTTGTGCGCCCCTGAAGATTTATGTAATGCTGAGAAATGAGACTGCACCCACCTCTGCCCCCCAGCTGTTTCTTCATGTTGTTCACACAGCGCTCGCTGAGCCAACCATGGCCAACCTGCACCCCTCACAGAGCTAATGAGCTGATCGGTGGTGTCTCTCAGCCCTCCTCCTGTACTACTGCTGTGAGGATAAACGCCCCCGGTGCAGCCCTACAAGCTGGCGGGAACTTCTAAAGACCTGTGCTGCTGGATCTGAATCACTAAAAGAAACAATGGAAGTTGAGTTCTGAATATGATGCTGGCTTTCAGAAGATGTGGTTCAGACTGCTTTATGAAACATGATTAAACGGCCTATATTCTACATGGGGTGTACAAAATAATGCAAATGCCACATGAAATACTCAGTCATTGGCTGTGTTCTTTGTAATTTACAATTACTGACAATGACTGTATCTTATCTCCTGCTGCACAGTTTATCACCCCTCTAATCCATCCATTAATGGAAAAGAACCACC